TAGCCGCACAGTGCCTTTGGCTGCAAAACCTTGGCGATTGGAATAAAACATTTTACGCCAAAATGTTGCAATTCGTTGTTCACGTGCTCAAACCAAGAACCATTCTAATCTACGTTCATGCTTTTGCGGCTCACCGAATTTCACTAGCCAGTGAAGCAGCTACACCTCTGGCAGAAAAATTTTGGCGGAATACTTTCCCCGAACATCTCCCAGCCATATTTTTCGACTTCGCAAAAGCATCTGATATGGTCCCACACATCCAGCTGCCCCACAAACTCGAGTCTTATGGCATTCAAGGTAAAATCCTTTGCTGGATCAAGACGATCCTATCAGACAGATTATTCCGAGTGGGAATAGGCTCGACCCACCCATGTCCAGCGCCGGTCTCCATTGGAGTTCCTCAAGGCTACGTTTTGGGACCACTCCTGTTTCTGATCTACGTCAACGACTTCCCAGATGTTTTTGCAAGCCCATGTCTACTTTTTGCATACGACTTTAAATCCTGGAGTTCCAATGCCAGTGCCCTCCAAATGGATGTAGACGCTGCCAAGCAGCTTCTTCTGAATGATGAAAAGTGCGTCCATATATCGCTTGGAGAGGATTCAGCGAATGACTTTGCTATGCATGGTGAAAAGGGACCAGAAAACATCATGAGAATAGATGCCGAGAAGGATTTGGGCATCTGGGTCTCCTCAAACTTGTCCTTCTCACTACACCATGAGAAATCGGCCCAAAAGGCATTCGCCATTTTACGGGTGATCCGACGCACCTTCTCCCGTATTACTCGCATGGACTTCCAAATACTCTATGGGTCCTACTTCAGACTGCTCCTGAAATACGCCAACCAAGTTGTCTACTCAGGACGTACGAAAGACGCTACCCTCATTGAGCGTGTCCAGCTGGCCACTACGAGAATGGTTGCCGGCCTCAAATGCGTGGACTACGAAACGCGTCTCGCGAGGCTTGATCTCTTTCCCCTGGAGTACCGTCGCCTCCGAGGGGACAGATTCTTACTTATGCCCTGTTTGAACAAAGCTTGGTAAACAGGTTTTTCACCGTTGACCCAGCAAACACAAGGCAGGGACATAGTAAGAAAATTTTCAAGCTCAGAACGCATACATTCATTAGACGAAATTTTTTTCTCATTTCGGGTAGTAGCTGCGTGGAATAACCTTCCTCCGACGGTTGTCCGCGCTCCTTCTAGAACCCAGTTTAAAGCACTATTAGACACTTATTTAGGCGAATCTTCGAGCTGGCAAGCATACTACCCCACGCTGAGAACATAAAGAGTAGTGCTACACCATTTTTCACTTGTGCCTTTCAGGTGAACGACAGCCACTGACCGGCAAGAACAAAAGCGACCGGGGAATTTTGGGCAAAAGCCTCGATCCTGTGTATCAGTCCGTGAATCCGTGAGCATCGCTGATACCCCGGATGCCTAGTTGCGCTCAAAAGATTGGACTCGTACACTGAACTCAATTGCCTGTCTCTCATTCCAACAAAGACACCTGGCTTTCGAGAGCTCTATTCCATTGTTCGAATACTGAGAGCTCAAGATAACCTTTAAAATCGGAAGAGGGTATTGGAGCGTAGCGCGCATAAAAGTTTTCTTGGAGATTGAAAGTACCCTAGGAATGTTGTTCGTCGTTTGGGTCCCGCATGACCCAAAAGGGTTATGTACGTATGTACATACATATGTTTGGTCTCAAATCATATCACTAGAAAACGTGACTAGAGTACTTAGCATGGACCGCCCAGCTACTCCTAATATACAGTAAATAGCAGACGAAACTCTGCAATAACTTTTCACCGGACACTAATGGGGCACACTTCTTGACCCGCAGTACTCCAGAGTTGACACCACTGTGCCAACGGCACCAGTGCCGTGTAACAACCGGAAGAGTAAGCAGCTAGCTGAAACCATGATTGTAATTATACAGTCCGGATTTAACTAACTACACCCCCCTCTACCAAAAATATTGGACGATATTCACGGATTGATACATAGGGCCCAGGCTCTTGTCCAAGTTTCCCGGATCGATTTTGTTGTTGTCGTTCATCGGCTGTCGCTTACCTGAAAGGCACAAGTGAAAAAGGGTGTAGAACTGCTCATTATGATCTCAGCGCGAGGATTCGCGTAAATGTGTCTAATAGTGCTTTGAACTCAGCTCTAGAGGGACCGTGGACAACCGTCAGAGGAAGTTTATTCTACACAGCCACTACCCGAAATAAGAAAAAATTAGCCTAATGAGTATGTGCGCTCCGAGCTTGAAAATTACTTACCATGTCCCAGTTGTGTGTTTGTTGGGTCAATGGTGAAAAACCATTTGGCCAAGCTTTGTTCAGACAGGGCATAAGTAGGTATTAGGACCCTCGAAGTTGACGATACTCCAGGGGAAAGAGGTCAAGCACCGCGAAACGCGTCTCGCAGTCCACGGATTTGAGGCCGGTAGCCATTTTCGTTGCGGCTCGCTGGACACGTTCAAGGAGGGTGGCGTCTTTCATCCTGACGAGGCAACTTGGTTGGCGGTCTGAAGTAGGCCCCATAGAGATTTCGGAAGTCCATGCGAGTAATAAGGAAGAAGGTACGCCGAATCATCCGTAAAATGGCAAATGCCTTTTGGGCCGCCGAACCAACAATCATACTGATCGGTAGGTGCATTTTGCACCCAGGTGCAGAAATCTGAGGACACTGTACGAATAATTCGGCAGATATACAGCAGGGATTTCTGCACCTATGATAACTGGGAAGTAATTAAAAGCCGATTTATCCCGGAATCCTCCCGATCAATATTTTGGAACAGATATTCCACAAGATTTTCGAATTCGAAATGGAAACTAATTTTGTGGACGTGGCCTAGAGTGGGCGTTTAAATGGGCGGTCTGGCCGTCATGTTTGTTGCTAGTCTTATGTAGCACTACGTGCTGGAGGTGGAAAAGACACCCGGGTAGCCGAGAACCCGCTTAATAACCAAAAGGCACTAGACTGTCCGTTTTGCTTGAAAATTTAAAAACCGAAAAAAATGGGTGATGACCTAACCTCATCCTAAAATAACCCTAACTCTGTGAGGCAGACGGTCCTCTGGCGTGCATACGAAGCATAGGTAATTCATCTATCGCGGGAGATTCCTCGTTTCTTACGACTACCTAGCGTACCTCAGCACTACTAATCCGATGTTTCCACCAGACCTGACCAATGCTTCGGAGGCGCCGATGATCAAACACTAACATTTTCCGAATGCCCTCTGCGCGTAGGGGCTACGTCTCTGATCGAATGTGGATTGCACCACCGCAGTGTAAACTCTCCCCTAGACAGACACAAGCCACGTCGTTGCCATAGGTGTCGGAAGTTGGCAAAATTTTCCCTGGCTTTCCGATTCAAGAAACCCCATCTCCAGTCAGTCCACCGAAACTTATACAACTGCCAAGGTAAACAAGTTTACCCCGTCGATTGGCTCACCTGCAAGCATAAGGTGTTGGTTGTACCCCGCCCAGTCTTGTAGCAGCACCTATTCGTTGTACATGTGTGGCGCATGCTAAGTCGTGTGGCAGAGTTACTCAGGTTATTTAAAACCGTTTGCATTTGGAGAGGATCTGAACCAAAGAGAGCAATATCGTCCGCATACTCAATGTCTGAGGGAGCGTACGTCCCCGGGAGCAATTCGACTCCCGAGGTCTCAGATGTAGGCATAGAAATTCTAAGCAGCATATCATTAACAAAGTTGAGGTGGAAAGGTGTAAGGCTGGAAACCACGCGGATCCCACTATACCGCACGTCTTTAGGCGCTGCTACGGCCGAGAAGCCCGGTCCGCTCGAGGTTGGCCCAGAATTCGGGACGCTTGCTGGTCCGGCATCAAGGCGAGATCTGATTGGTCAACAATCTGGACCCAACAGCCAATCATGACCCGGTATTGGCCAAATGCCGGTTGCCAATGGCGCATCCAGAACGCGTCAGAAATTCCAAAGGTATAACCGCTTACGCTATATATACGAAGCGCTGTACAACTGTTCTTGACTTCGTTTTGGGCGCTAATAGACCTTGTGCACCTTTGGTGGTTGTTTTGACGTGAACGCTAGCTTGGGAGGCCCAGACCGAGAACTAAGCTGAGGAAAATTCCGCCACTACAAAAGGGGAGAGACAGCCTTGTCTTATACCACGGACGTGGGGAACTCAGGCGAGAGCTACCTGTATACTCGTACGTGCCCGCAAGAGCTCACACAGAGTGTCCTCGCAAGCGAGACTCAAATTTGCTGACGCAGAATCAATGCGGATTTCAAATCCAGAAAAACAACCAACGTGTGACTGAAGGAGTGGCGCTGTTAAAGAATTTGTCTTAAAGCAAAGGTATGGTCGAAGCATCCTCGACCAGAGTGTAACTCAGCTTGATTCTTACGAATCTTACGATAATCCATCAACCCGCCCAAAATAATTCCAGAGAGCACCTTAGATGCAACGGACACCAGGTTGATAATACAATGGTTTTCACATGACTTCTTTGCTACCTTTTTGAAAACTGGGATGACGGTCGAGGAACTCTATTCGGCTGGCATTCTGTCTTCGTTTCAAATCTTCTACAGTATGGTTGTCAGACGGTTCAGCAGGACCTCGCCACCTTCTTTGGAGAGAGAAGGGTGTAGACCATCCGGGTCAGGTGCCTCGTCGCCCTTCAGGATTGAAATCTCACACTGGATTTCAGACGCAGATGTTGGTTTGGTGTCAATGTTCCGTTCGGGCCCGCTTCGTTCTTCCAGTGGTTTTGTTGAAGGAAACCGGGTGAAATGTTCTTGGAATCGCCCATCCCACCGCTGAAAACGGTGATTGAGGGAGTGAATCACTGTCCTGTCTTTTTCGGATGTTGTGTCACTGACACCTGTCTTCTTTTGATCCGTTGGTCGGATCAGCTGAAACAGGGCGTGGCTGTTACCTGTAGCGAAAGCCTTCTCCATCTCCTGAGCCTCCGAAATCCACCAGCGTTCTCTGTCATTCTTTAAGCTCCTGATGGATCCGCGTGCGCCACCATCGTGGAACGATGTTGACGTGTGATTGTGAGGTAGACGAGAAATGGGAGTAGTAGGTGCATGTGTGAAATTGCTTGGAGATGTAACCAAACGGAAGGGAAGCCGTCATAAGAAAACACGTTCCTGCCGTCCGGGCTTTCACCAAGGAACTCCCACAAATGATAAGTTTTCCTTGTGACTTGCTCCACATTTCATATTGCATTTATTTTATGCATGGTGCAACTCGCTGCTGCAAACTACTGTCAACCACAGTAAAGACTTATTAGTGCATACGCCTTCTGAATTGCATTATGGCTATACTAACCTGTGCACTAATAATTGCACTGCGTTGTACAATGAGTTGGGAGGGAATGAGGGGGAAGGTCGGTTAGCAAAGAGCTGCGAGGACAAGTGATATTTCCCGGTTGCCCAGGCCGAAGAAGGGGGTTTGGTTGAGGTACCTACCTTGAGCCTTTGACTCGAAAGTCTGACCCATCAGTCAGTGGGAGGATGTAGAGTTTTGTTGGAGGACCCTGCCCCTGATTAAACTGTCTGGACCACGAGACAGCGGTTGTTAGGGTTTTCTTGGGGGACCCTTCCCGGAGCCAATGAGTCAATGGTCTGACCTACCTGGCTGTAGGGGATCAGCCTGGCCAGAGGGCACAGAAAGTAGGGCATTACTGTCTCACTCCTGATGCGGCTGCGCACAGCAGGTGCCTTTTGAGCAGCACCGGACTCTGGTTTTAAAAGTAATTCGACCGAATTGAATAATGTGCAGGCGGTCACGGTCAACCATTGGGTGATTAGAATGTGTGGTTTTTTGGGGCCAACCTTCTGTGACCCGTCCTTCCTCGGGGTAAGGCAGCATCGCTGCTTCCATGATAATGGATGTGCTGGTCACCTGGGGGAAACGCCTTACTGCCTTCATGCTCCTATAGCAGAGGACAGCACGACTTTACCTCCAGACCATCTCGTAATACGATTACTCGCTGTTCGTCGGGTTGCTTTCCGTTGGACTGGTTGAACCTTTAGGAACTAAGTTCCAGCCAGTATAGCCCGCAGGATCGCTCCAGCACAGAAGCCCGGCCACCACGACACACTTTGGGTCGGGATGCGGTCACTACCTTCAGTGCGAGTACTCTTTTTAGAGAGCGGAATTCCGTCGACTTACTCCAAGTGTCTGGAACAATCTTTCTGGATGTAAGCTAATCATTTTGGTCCCTGATGGTTCCGCTTCCGAAAAGCAAACTGTGTAACTTGGAGTAGCGTGCATCTTCAAAAGGACGGAATCCCTCATCGGAGCAACTGCACGTTGGTAATTTTTTATTTGGCATTTGGGTCTTAATGGCACCAGTGATGAACGAAGCGAAATATAATGTGCTCCTGATGGCGAACTGTCGCCTCACGGTACACGTATGTAATGCTAATTCCGTTTCTGAGGTGTTCTTCTCTGTTAATCTTTTTTCTCGTTTCAGATTCCTATGTGGAGTGCAAGATTCCTTTCCGGTAAATTGCAGTGCGTCCTTGACTCGCGCGGTCTAGTTACTAATTATTTCCGGTATTTAAACTACCTGCCTTCGCGTCAGATTTCAAGCAATACACAGCCTACTGCTGCAGTCAGCACTAGTCATGATCCTCTACCTGAAGCCGCGCGGAAAGTGGACGCCCCCAAAATGTAAGCATGACTTTCTATTTGAGATTTTATCCTGCAGTCTTGGTCACCACATCGTAACGGAAGAGTGTCTCACGTCAATAGTGGGGGACCGGGCTTTCTATGAACTCCCCGTACTACATATTAGTGCTGGAAAAAACAATACATTTGCCACATTGACTGATTGTAACGGCCGTATTTTAGAACGATCAAGCTGCAGTGCGGAGGGCTTTCAGAATGCGCGTAAAAAAACAACAGTGGCTGCTCAAACTTTGGGAATTTCCATGGGTTTTAAGGCTCAAAAAATTGGAATCACTACTGTTCGAGTCAAAATGCGTGGGCTTGGATCTGGTCGACTGGTAGGCCTTTTCGTATTCTATCTGTCCATTTTCAGCCTACTTTATCAGGGGCCGCACTAGCGGGCTTACAAGTGGTCTCGTTGACTGACGACACGAGCATGCATTACGGTCATGGAAAGCGACCCCGAAAGATGAGGAGGAAATGATTCGTCCATTCATATCATTATTGTATATATTCGAAATAGCCCACGATTACATTGTACACTACTAACCTGATAATTTCCCCCCGCGGTTATAGGACTGTTAGTCATGCGGCCACTTTGGAAATAAAAGCATCTGCTGCGTGACAACAGCCTTCGGGTTGGTGACATCCCGGTCCTCGTGCTTCCTCTTGGTGGTATGGCAGTTAGGTACCGGAAGGTGTTACAGTTTAATGATTTTTAATCGTTTATCAGTTTTTTGTGACCGGCTAGGCTTACACCGGCTCTATCCGTTCTAGTCACTGAGTATCAATTCTAAACAGCTTGGCGCTTACTCTTTTAATCATTTCTGTTTCTTCTGGCAGTGTCAAGAGATTGTGTGCACGAACATCGAATTTTGTTCACCTTGGCAGTTACGCTGGTTGAGCCTAGGTCTGTACATTTTCTACCACCTTTTGGGATTATTGAATGAAGGTGAAATTGTGCATGGAGTCAGAGGCCTAAAACTGATACTGTGTCAGGGAACTGGGCTGTCATCCATGACCATAATCGTACTTTAATTGTCGATTTTCGCGCGTCTTCCTCGTCACAACTGCTTCTTTCCTACTACCCGCAGCAATAGCAGACATGACGCTACACATACAACCTCCCAAAATGTTAGAAATTGTCATCTGACCAGTGGTCGCTGCGGTCAAGCTGTGACAAACCCATCAGTGATGTACTGTGTTTCGAGTCAACTTGAATCTAAGACACAGTTCAGACTAAAGCGTATCCATCTCCGTGATCAGTTAGTATGTTTCTTTGATATAATTGACCATTAAGTGAAGTTAAATGATGGCCTTGCCGAGCTGTCAATGGTGAAGTTGATTAAGGATCGCCTCTCTGGACCACTGGTTGTCCCGACGACCACCAGCATACTAGGTAATAGGCCAAGTTAGATGCACCCTCGATGTCGAAATTATCAGTACTGCTTATGGCTATGCTTGGAAAAAATTAATGATGAGACATGTGTAGTCTCGACCAAGATTCACATTCCGAATCACATACACCAGCCGCGCACACGCGTAGGCGAGAATGTGATCCTGTGTTCGATGGCCTAAACCTGATCATGTGATCAATCTGAATGAGGACAGTGATACTCGTGCTGGAGGAATTTCCAGCATTCAGCCACACCTTCGCTACCAACACCCGATAAATCTCCAACCCCATGGCTTTATACATAAAAAAGCTCCCGTGAGGACGGATGATTGTCAGGTAAAACAATGCGACGTTCAACAATAGTCAGGCTGTCCGATTAAGGTGACAGTCGGTTAGACCAGGAGTTGCACCCAAGTGTATTTCCAAGACTCAATCTCAGATCAAATGTGATGACCAAAATTAAGGGGTACAACACAATGTAACCTGCGACTTGGTACCGTTCCACTATAAGAGGGATTAATTTATGCACCCGATTCATTTTGCGCGCTGTGCTGTTTTCTTCGGCAATCTTTACAAAGGTTAGCAATATCATTTTCAACCTTGTATTATTTTACCTTAGGCCGTTTAGCAGTACAGGTGTAACTTTCAACTGAGACCTTATAAGACCAAGCGAACATGTTTATACTAGTGTCCATTGTAATATGGAGAGGCGTATCTCAGTGAATTGGTATGCTGAAATTCTCGAGTTACAGCTGGCGTAGTGTCCCATTACTCGCAACTTCCGCCACTCATACTGGGCTTATATTCTGACCACACGCTAATCATCCCCTTCTGGGACAGTACCAGGTCCATGTAAATCGTCTGGTCCTACCCACAGTAGAATCGCTTATTCAACCTGGCGTCTGGTTGTACACAGTGATTGTCGGAAGAAATTTGTAATCAGAGAAGCAATCAGAAAGTGACTGAATGATAATCGTTCAGTTGCAACACCCTTTAGGGGCCTAGGTGCCATGCCTCCCCGAGGAAGCACGAGGGCTGGGATACTGCCACGTCGCTTAAGCCTAGACAGGTGAAGTCAAGAGGTAGAGGTCGGGTTCCGACCTTCCGGCCAGTAAATCCATACTCTAACCACTGAGCCATCTCGCCCAATGAGAGTGGCACAGTTTGGTATCTAACAGTGGGAAAAAGGGCGATGGCTACCCGGGTTCACATCCCACAGCCCTTAAACAGAACGCCGGAATCCAACGACGTTCAGCTGCTTATTCCTCTTGTTCCCGGATTTCCGGAGCCTTACGCTTATGCATCCGCACAATCCCCCAAAGTTAAATTGGCTAGCTTACAACTAAACAGCTATACCATTCGTTGAGGCGCTGTGGGTGTGGCCTAACCGTAGCGTATGACTGAGTGGCCTAAACACTCTTAGAATCCCTGGGACCTTACAATCCTTGCAGAAGCGTCTCTTGGATTGTTCGACCGGAACCCTATCACTTCGAACTTTACCGTACATCCATATCTCATAATTCAATTGGAGTTCGTAAGTATGTTGAGATTCATTCGGTTGATCTTCTATTTAGGGAAAATTCAAGGTAGGGTGGAAGGTGCGACCGACTTCAAATATTGAGGTTGTTTGATGTAGTAAGAATAACATTATTCCGACAAATGCAATATGGACGCTGTTAACCAAACTGAAAGGAAGTTCAAGGGATCTGCAAAAAAATTAATGAATCGCCCAGCTGTAGCACCCTTTCGGTGCCTAGCTGCCATGCCAACGGAAGGAGGCATGTGGGCTGGGATACTCTAGGTTGCTTAATAGATGCACCCTCGATGTCGAAATTATCAGTACTGCTTATGGCTATGCTTGGAAAAAATTAATGATGAGACATGTGTAGTCTCGACCAAGATTCACATTCCGAATCACATACACCAGCCGCGCACACGCGTAGGCGAGAATGTGATCCTGTGTTCGATGGCCTAAACCTGATCATGTGATCAATCTGAATGAGGACAGTGATACTCGTGCTGGAGGAATTTCCAGCATTCAGCCACACCTTCGCTACCAACACCCGATAAATCTCCAACCCCATGGCTTTATACATAAAAAAGCTCCCGTGAGGACGGATGATTGTCAGGTAAAACAATGCGACGTTCAACAATAGTCAGGCTGTCCGATTAAGGTGACAGTCGGTTAGACCAGGAGTTGCACCTAAGTGTATTTCCAAGACTCAATCTCAGATCAAATGTGATGACCAAAATTAAGGGGTACAACACAATGTAACCTGCGACTTGGTACCGTTCCACTATAAGAGGGATTAATTTATGCACCCGATTCATTTTGCGCGCTGTGCTGTTTTCTTCGGCAATCTTTACAAAGGTTAGCAATATCATTTTCAACCTTGTATTATTTTACCTTAGGCCGTTTAGCAGTACAGGTGTAACTTTCAACTGAGACCTTATAAGACCAAGCGAACATGTTTATACTAGTGTCCATTGTAATATGGAGAGGCGTATCTCAGTGAATTGGTATGCTGAAATTCTCGAGTTACAGCTGGCGTAGTGTCCCATTACTCGCAACTTCCGCCACTCATACTGGGCTTATATTCTGACCACACGCTAATCATCCCCTTCTGGGACAGTACCAGGTCCATGTAAATCGTCTGGTCCTACCCACAGTAGAATCGCTTATTCAACCTGGCGTCTGGTTGTACACAGTGATTGTCGGAAGAAATTTGTAATCAGAGAAGCAATCAGAAAGTGACTGAATGATAATCGTTCAGTTGCAACACCCTTTAGGGGCCTAGGTGCCATGCCTCCCCGAGGAAGCACGAGGGCTGGGATACTGCCACGTCGCTTAAGCCTAGACAGGTGAAGTCAAGAGGTAGAGGTCGGGTTCCGACCTTCCGGCCAGTAAATCCATACTCTAACCACTGAGCCATCTCGCCCAATGAGAGTGGCACAGTTTGGTATCTAACAGTGGGAAAAAGGGCGATGGCTACCCGGGTTCACATCCCACAGCCCTTAAACAGAACGCCGGAATCCAACGACGTTCAGCTGCTTATTCCTCTTGTTCCCGGAGCCTTACGCTTATGCATCCGCACAATCCCCCAAAGTTAAATTGGCTAGCTTACAACTAAACAGCTATACCATTCGTTGAGGCGCTGTGGGTGTGGCCTAACCGTAGCGTATGACTGAGTGGCCTAAACACTCTTAGAATCCCTGGGACCTTACAATCCTTGCAGAAGCGTCTCTTGGATTGTTCGACCGGAACCCTATCACTTCGAACTTTACCGTACATCCATATCTCATAATTCAATTGCGTAAGGTAAGTATGTTGAGATTCATTCGGTTGATCTTCTATTTAGGGAAAATCCAAGGTAGGGTGGAAGGTGCGACCGACTTCAAGAGGTTGTTTAGAGCAATCGAGATGCCGAGGTTGGGTTCGGACATTCTTATCCGTAACCTACACCATAACCACCGAGCTATCTCGAGGAGTCTACTTATGGTTTATTTGAAGTAATATTCAGTAGTAACAATAGTAGGGGGTAATTGCAGGAATGAAAAGTAAGAATCACAGTAAGACTTGGTGTATCGCAGACTGCATGACTGGATTGATGCCATGAAGTTGGGCGTTGCCCCGTTGGAAACCGGGCGAATTGCCATAAATCAAAGTGTGCCCTGGAAACCACGTTCTCAGACGAGACATGGCATGAAGAAAAGTGCTCTTCGTGCGCAGATTCTTTGAAGCGCTCATATGGCTCACATTCGAAATGGCACGAACAAGTTTTTCTCAATCGCTCAATGAGTCTGCTCTGTCAGTTGCCGCAACCCAGTTTCGTGCTCTCTTTTTACCACTCGTGGATGACCCCAGGTTCATGAACGAACAATAAACTTAGTGGGGATTGAACGCCGATGTCTACACTATTACTGATAATCACATGAGTGTCTTGAACTCTACCGGGCGAGTCCGTTCTGTAAGAGAGGACTTCATGACTTCTAGCGGCTTGTTTTTCATCAGTCTCTTGGCCGTTGCGTAGTTAGACCGATCTCTTGCCAAAATTCTTGTACATATTCTTTGCACCAGCTGAGATCGTCAACTTCTTTCCCTGGTACACAGCCCGGCGAAGCAACATACTAGAGTCTATAGGGATTAGAAGTCCACCATCGGTCAACCTGCTTGACAAATCTCAATCTGCCATTTCACTTAACAGAAATTTGGAACTCTCTGTGGGCAGCCCGCAAGTCTGAATATATCCAACAGGAGGGTGATGCCAAACTGACTATTCTGATGCTTCCATGAATAGTAAAACTTACACAATTAGTGAACGAACTCGGTACAGGCTGCCGTGTGCAGCTGCTACGCACTGATATGAATAGACGGTGCATTCCACACAACCCCGCAACCACCAACATCTGAAACGAAATGTGTTTAACAGGTTTCAAGCGTCTGTGGCGCTACCTGACTGACGAGCCAGTCGGTTGACACAACCAATGTACGTTACTGGGTCATCGTTCGAGGCATCAGGCGTTCCGCTCACATCACTCAAGCACAAACATGTTCACCTAAACACCGCTTCACAAAAAAACCGCCTAGAATTTTGTAACAACACTTCGTACCTCGTACTTCAACACTGGCTGCGCTACCGTTCAAAAGGAGCTGTCCAAATTTGTTTCCACAACTCAAGCCCGACCACCACGTCAGTGTGACAGCTTTAGGTCGGGGGTTTTCCACATCACACCGCTTCACAAAAAAACCGCCTAGAATTTTGTAACAACACTTCGTACCTCGTACTTCAACACTGGCTGCGCTACCGTTCAAAAGGAGCTGTCCAAATTTGTTTCCACAACTCAAGCCCGACCACCACGTCAGTGTGACAGCTTTAGGTCGGGGGTGTTTCCACATCTAGTGAGGTTCGCCAAAGCTGCCCTCTATCACTCTTTTCGTTCACGTTTGCCGCCGTTACAACAGTGGGTCGAAAATCCAGGAATCGCAATACCTAAAGAGATCCCATCTGCTCGGCTTCCACTCAGCTGTAGAGTTCTCAGATCATGCATCGGAAGCATGTTTCGGACCGTGTTGTTGAAAGACAATACCAAGTGCACAATTCTAGTCCGTCTTTCCATCAGTAACAGTCGGTGACTGTGCTTGTCTGACGGTGCAATGTGATCGTCTATGACCGGTTCGCACGCTTCGGTTGTATCCTGGTTTGTTGACCGCCGCACGGTAGACGTAAAACTGAACCTCTCCGTACTGTTTCTCGACGTCGTTACATTACCCACAAAAAGGGTCTGATCGCAGTAACAGTAGATTTTGAATTAGTTAATGAAACATTATTGGGCACCTACACAATCTCCCGGACGGAATCCGCCAAGAAAGCAAATTGACGTGGTGAATCAATGGGCGAACACAGACAGTTGCTGGTTCGTTTGAATCCAGAACACCTAGATCTTTCGGTGAATACTCATTGTTTAGTGCAGCCAAAAAGGTAGTTCGAGAGTTTTATCGGCAACTTAACGGCGTTGAATTGCAAGGTAACAGCTGCCAGCACAGATCGTAGGCGGGCCGTGATACCGCCTCATATTGGCTTAACCGACTTCCTGAATCCACAAGAAAATGAGTCAAAACAGAAATTCACTTCCTTCACTTCACTTCCGCAAAAAAGCTGATAAGAAGCCTCAGCACGAGTACTGATTCGGACTGAGCACCTGACCATGACATTCCATTACTCACGACTGAGTGAACAGGAATACAAAGTCCGGGAACACGCACATAATCAATCACGCAGTAAAAAATTCTGTTCGATCGCTTTATTAAGGTAATACAACAAAACTAGACGTCCATTGGCGGAAACAGTATGAGAGAACCAACAAGGACAATAACTTGGGAACAAATTAGTAGGATGAGATATCACGCGATGCCCCTTCGACAGTATCTCCCTCAACTACCGTATCGTGGGATTGCTTCGCTTTCTTTTGAAATGGGACTACATTGGGGTCAAAAAAGAACGGTACAATTAGTAGCACGAATGGTTCAGTACACTGGGTCTGATTGCCACAGTAAATTGAACCCAAACCACGATAACGGCAAACAGGGAACCTTTTCCAGTTCCGTCTGTGTTTCAGATCAGTCCACTGATCTCGTTATCTAGATGTACTCAGCTTACCACTTCTACACAAAATTGAACCTAAAAATTCAGGAGGAAATAACCGTGAGCAAAAATGACTGGTCACTATACTCACAGACAATACATATCCACAATACTTAGTCCAGTGAACCCACATCTCCGGGGCACTGCTTGTCCGAAACCATTCAACTCGGGGCACATCACCCTGGAAATACAGATGCAAAACACTTGCGTGGATTGGGTTTTTGTCTGCACTAAAGTTCTGATTATACCTGGAACATTCGCATGCACGTGTGTAAAACCCGTTGCACACAATCGTACTAAACAGTAGTGCAAAGGAATAAGTGAATTTATGCTGTGACAGAGGAATCTACGCACGTGTGGAACGGGTGCACTTCCCAGAAATCGTGAGGTGTTCGGTCATCACACAGACCTTACTCCCTATATGCCTCTTCAAAGCATAATAATAAAACCAAGGGGATAAAAAGCGGGTCCTTTAAACACAAAATCGGACATGTTACGTAGCCATTTCACTTCATCGTTGTTCGTGGGCTGTCTGAAGTTTCGTCAGTTCAGGAGGCCAAGCGACCGGCTCTTATTTGTCCGTTAACTTGATGGTGTTCATGTGTGAGAAATCGAGTGTCGTATCAAACACGTCAACGGATAAGACCCATCTAGGACTCGAGGACAAAATGACAAATCCTTCAATTCTTGTCAATAAAAAAAATCCTGTTACCTGGTTGTTGTATACTGACCTATCGACGCTGCCTGTCGTGCATGGGTGCCTCCATAATCACAATCAACTCAGCATACGACAGCGGTATTTCCCGGCTTGGAGACACGCTACCTACAACTGGTTTGCCCGATGAGCTCTAGCAGTAGAACACTTAGTTCATGGATTTAAATGATGAAATCAGGCAATTCTAGCGAAGTGACAACATTTCACACTCTCATACCAAGTGCAAACGAATGTGTGGCGAATGGAATCCAAGGCTCCAAGAAACCCTGGGGTGGTTAGACATTCTGCAACCTTAGTCACGAGAACCAAGATAAACGCAGCGTTACGTTCAAATCCCTTTGAACACAGAGACCTGGCTTTTATCTGGTCATGATTAGAGCCTCAGAGAACGTATGCCCTCGCAAGAGCTCACTTAGATGCTTCGGGAGAATAGAAGAAAGAAACAAAAATCTAGCGTTATTATTCTGAAACCCGACGAAGATTCTGGTTTTGTGGTTCTGCGGCAGATAAGCGCGACTTTCCGCTACCGGTGTAGTGCTACCTATGAGGACAATCATGAATGATGGTTCTGAGCAAAACAGATTCTAATGCTAGAATGGAGCATATCATGTTGGACATTTGCGCAGACGCTCAATCTGACAATGTTGCTGCTGGAGAAGTCGTGTGTGAATGGGCTTGATGGAGTGTCGAGGTGAGGCGCTGGCTATCGAAAGGGTGCGCCGAGATTCAAATTCGCCTTCCGCCCTTTACTTGATATATATATATATATATATATATATATATATATATATATATATATATATATATATATATATATATATATATATATATATATACCTGATCTCTAGACAGCTCTCTGGTTAAGACTCAAGGCTAGTGATCAGGTCATTCGTGTCTCAAATTTAGTTACGTAGAAAGGGGAATAATTCGAAGAATATGTGCCTTACCCTCAGTCAAAAGAGCTGAAGTATCCAGGGCTGACAGTCTCAGACGACTTGTGTCCTCAAGGTTTGGACCATATGGTATTTCCCGATGCTGTTGGTTAAGCTTCTCCGGAGGTGCATGTGAATCACCATCTCTCTCAGGTAACTGGAACGTCTGTGTTTGAGGCACTTCGTCCTTTTCAGGGGCTAATGAATTCAAATTATCATTTTCACCATGGACGTTCACCTTCTGAAAATGCGCCATCAGTCTATAGTGTACTTACACTGGACGCGAGAGCTGTTTCCAGTGTTTCTTCTAGTGGTGTTCCGTAGTAGTTTGCCACTTTTCTCGCTCTAAACGCGAAATTTTTTTAATGAAATCGAGCGACTTGCGTTTCTCGAATAGTCTCTGGTAAACCTGAAGGCTGATGTTGCTAATTTGCATGGGAACCAAAACATACCGGTCAGCTCGAAGTTCGGAGACTTTTTGATCCATGTGTCGACAAACAGCCGCAGTTTTTCATTTTGCCAAATGCATTCATCGTAATCCTTGAGTTTCGAGCGGCACTGGCTGATAAAGGCAGTCCGCTCTTTTCTAAATCAAGGAATGAAAAGCACAAGAGGGCAAAAGCCAAGTGGTGAAAGAAAAGTGACCCGTTTTAATGCACACACACACAAGTAGCTGTTCAAAATTGTGGTCAAGATCGGGTGGTCTGTGGGCTTAGAGACATCGTTTTCAAAGTGTCGGTCTTAGGTTTCATTGGCTGGGATTCCCATCGAAACTGGTTGTCAGAGGTTTACAAACATGCTCCACCTAAGCCAGGATAGCCAACACACTCCCTAAGGTGGGAGTTCTCGTGTACAACCAAGTAAGACAGGCGTGTTGCGAATGGGCTATAAAGCATTCTGCTGAGGGAGAGTAACTGAATTTTCAGAATCTGCATCCATTACCCTATAAAAACAGTCATCCTCGATACCGAAGGACAGGCGGCGACCTCAGACATTCCTCATTTTAGAGCTCGTAAGTTCAGTTCATCGACCGTAGGCCACCAGTTCGCCAGTCCTATTCCCAGGAAACGATACATTGAAGTGTAAAGCGGACCGGTTGGTGCAAATGTAGAGTTCGCCATAAAGGTGACTACTTATAAACGGCTGGATATTTGTCGCAAACTTTTCACAATATCGCAGAGGATCTGCAACCTCAACCCGAATGGCCATAAACCCGGCTCCATTTACTTGGACAAAGTGAGGTAAGGAGTAGCAGCCAGCTTTGGCTAAAACTGAACCTATGGTATTTTGGACACCAATCTTCGTTAACGGCGTACTAGCTAAATAGATCCGTGAGCGTCAGACAGAGTAGGTCACTAAACAGATACTGCCAGATTGTGCACACCTTTGTCCCAACCGTAGAATACAAGTAGCCTACACTCGTTTATAGGTTCGACTGAGAAGTACTCGGACTCCCGTGCACAGACTTCATTGGTCTCAGCAAGGTCAACAGGACTTTTCAAAGCTCAACTGAAAATGGCCTGCAGGAAATTTATGAGAACTAATTTTTGAGCCACAATCTAGAACCGATGGATGCACAAAAGTCACCCATTATCGGTCTCATAACCAAAAGGAACATACAGTCGGTGTGTCATAGTAGTTAGATGGACCCAGAGTGTGGACTCATAATTAGAATCAACCGGTGGCACCATTCTGGCTTGAACCCCGGCGCATTTAGTGTTTGTTAGCCCTATTAATGGCTTTACTGGCTATGGATTGGAAGAAATCCATGCGAAAAGTTATACTCGTGTGGATGCCGAGGATAGAACTGGAACAGATGTACATCCTGTTTAGCTTTTTCGGGACAGCCGAAAACCAGCAGACCAAACTGGTAAAGCATCACCGGCTATCAGACCGACGTAACCAACGCTAAAAAGAAGGGAGGTAAAAGACGACACATACTGAAATCTCCATAGGCATTACCTCATTGACTCGTTTGAGTCTTTAATATCTTCCAAAGCCTTTTTCAGATGAAGCGTTTGTTTTGCTAGAGATTCCTTAACTCCTTCCATCCTACAAGAGATAGCATCAGTCCTCTAAAGGCACGTTCCACCTACTCTTCTGAGTACCGCGATTGATGGAAGTAGGACGCTTCGAGTTGCTTGATCTCTTGTTCAATCAGCCCCTTGGCATCCTTCTTGCTCCCCACTTCTTTAATCAAATTAGAAAGTTTGTTTTGGACTTCTGTAGGAACGGAAAGCAGATAAACAAGATATGAAACAATACCTAGATAATGCTTCTTCTCGTCCTGCAGTTGGTTGGTCAATTGTTCGACGTGGAATCCTGCGAAAGATCCGTCGTCTTGAAAGAACAGCACTCACCTAGTTCACTGACTAGTGCATCTAGATCAGACATGGTTGAACGGATTGGGCGTCACAGGGTTCTTCGTTGCTTTCAGTCACTTGACTTTCGGAGTATTGCTACCTGTTCTCTGGAAGTAACAGGAAAAAATTTTATTGTGGCTGCGAATATGTAGTTCAGTTGATGACGGGTTTTTGGGATCATCAGCGACGATTTTGAGATAAGTAATAAACATGGTACAAATATAAAATTCACCATGGCACAATAAAGGCGCAAGCAAGCCGCGTGACAATGTTGGGTGGCGCTTCAACTCGACTACACCTCTTAGGAACTTCCTAAACCTAACGAACTACCCCCAGGCCACTAGGCGAGCCCTTGGCGGTGGGCTTCAGGCTGTTCGCATTGGAATGACCTGTTTGCAATAGCAAAACTGCAGTAGACACTGGCTCGAGGATTGCAATACAATCTAAATAAATGCGGCTCCTTTCAGCGATAAGCAGAGTTCTAGGGAGACAGTAGACAGTAAAAAAGAAAAAAATAATCGTCCGGTTGTAACGCCCTTTCGACTCCCACCTATCATGTCATCCCCAAGGGACCACTAGACTTGAGATTCTGCCAGCTCGTCCAAGCCTATCCAGAAGCAGTCGATTTGAGAGAACACTGGCTCCCAAAGCCAACGGTCTTGGACGTACGAAATGGCTCACCAAAGTATCCGTTCTGAGTGAGTTGGCAGAGAACGTCTAAGTCAGTGACTAGAACCGCATGTATTGCACTTCGATTTCAAACAATCCTGCCTTCATAAACATACCATTCTGTGTGAGATGGCGATTCCAAATTGGGCGCGACAGTGCGCCTGCTTGTTCGAATTGTTCGGTGACCATGCTGCGTGTTGAAGCCCCATCTCAGCTCAACATTAAAGACAACTAAATCAGTGGTCCGGGAAGCTAAAGATAGACGGCAGTACCCAGTGACCGACAACCTAGGTGAAGTGTTGACCACAGACCACCATATGAAACTTCTGCTGGAATTAGCGTGGCGTAGAATAATGCCTTATGTGATTTATGGGGGAAAAACCTATAGATTCACAAGGCTTTAGCTGACTCTTTACTCGGAGCATCAGCGATAACGACTGATAGGCGTGGGTCATAATGTGTCAAAGATTAGATCTGCATAGCAGCTGAACGAAAGCCCATGCAGACTGAATTGGTTGAACTCGTAAGACATCACATACCAGAAACCGATCAAGCAAAGCCTGTGCTAAAAATGTGCTGTGCTTCGTTCCAGTCTTCGACTTAAATTGTTCACGTATGTGCTGCACGGCGGCACTAGATTGCGTGCTGGTAGTCGTTCTAGAAGCTGCCCGTTCACCTTAACCCTGTGTTGGCGGTCCGGCATAAGGTCTGTCCAGTGTACTGATGATGGTGGGGAGCCACTTTTGTCGAGAACAAAAAGAGTACTGGGGCATATTATCGAACACTTTATTGAAGACTGTGGATCATCATCATTGACAGCAATACAGCGCCAATGGATACTGGTGCTTAACTGCCACACAAGCAGGAAGGAGAGCCTTGGTAAAAAAAAATGAGAACAGTGGGGACTCAATGCAAAGAAGTCCTAGGTGGGATGCTATACCAAAACCGTCCTACAGCTCGCAGTTAAGCTCAGTAATGACCGGTGGTCTACAAATACGCCTACCTCATAGTCTTGATCAACCGACCCCACTCAACTTTCGCATGCCAGCAACAAATTCGTAACACGGAGTTGGTTGGTAGCAAAACCATGCCGTTCCCACATGTGTAGGAAAGTACTCCCGATTTGCTGCTGCAGGAGCATGTTCGCCCACCTATCCGTCACTGACGTCAGGCTAACTGGTAGATAACCGGTCGGGTCGCATTTGTCTCCAAATGCGAGATGGACCAAGTGGTTCCAGCGCGAAATTACTGACTGGAAGGTCCGTGTTTCGAACCCAGCCTCTGTCTCTCGACTTCCCTGTCTAGGCTTGGGCAACTTGGCAGTATCCCAGCCCTCGTGCCTCCTTCGTGTGGCATGGCAGCTAGGCACCAAAAGGGTGCTACAGCTGAATGATTTTTTTATCTCCAAATTTCGGCTTAGTGATGACTTCTTCCAAGCAAGCGGTACTATGCCTTCTTCATTGGCGATCACGGCAAGAGATGGGGCAAAAATGTCCACCGGCTGATTGATTATCAACGGGTAGATTCTAGTTTTCCCAAACGGAGCAGAATCTCGGGTAAGTACGGAAGAAATGTACCTTACTTCCCTCTAATCAATACGGGAGCTGTGTAGGTTTTCGCGTATGACACACTGATGGGTACTCCTTAGCTAGCAACGACGAACGTTCTAAAATGCCACCAACTGTTTGACCCGTTTTAGTCATCAATGACGGTAAATGGTCTCCGTTTCTCCAACTGATGTAGATTAGGACCCGGTACGACTGTTTCTTTGGACTTTTCACTACACGAAATTTGCGCTCTCCGTTTGAATTTCAGCCAACTGTTACCATTCCGAAGCTTCTTATGCCTCGCGCGATCCGCTAATGTTACTTTCGCCCTATGGATGTTCCAAAACCCGTCTAGCACGCATACCAGAGCTCAGTTCCTTGTCCAATGTGCGCCTCTACTTATCTTGGCTTTTTTTTTGAAATGAAAGGTTGGAATGCCTGTAGATTCGCCCGGAAATGGACCTTGGGAACACTGATATCGATAGCTCATAGTGAAATAGCCAGCACTGCTGATCAGTCAGAGCTCCATACATTCGGTCTTACGGTCTCTACCTTTCTGAGGCTCTCAGCTATCATCACGTGGGCGGTCAGCTTAAGGGGACCATTGGATACCACGGGCTCCTTATATTCCAAATGGAGCTTCAATGAACAGTACGTCAACGCAGGATTCCCACTGCCTCAGGAGATATAGAGTCGATTTATGGACATGCTTAACTCGACCTCCTCCACCTCAACATTGCTGAGGCCTTGGCAGCTTATGAAATATATTTAGGGTTTCGAAGTGAATCTTGAAACTGTGCTGCGATTGTGAAGACTTCTGCAGAAGACATTCACAAATATGTTGACCGATCTCGGCATAGCGATGAAGCAGATAGCCACAAGTAGACCGTCGTAGGTCCTGTGCATTCGTAGTTGGTGGCTCTTAAATGGTGCTTTGACGTATAGGATCATGTCTCCTCACCACCCTCGATTTCGGTCACAACGGCACCGGTGGTAGCCCAGACGGTATCACTGCTGAATCTACCATCTTGTCCAACTGTCTCAGTGAACCCAATAACATCTGACAGGAAACCAACCATCTAGTGTCTCGTAGCACAAATGGTCCCAGAAGGCACAAGCCCTTCAGTCGTTATCGGTCTACCGATTTTTCTTCAAACGCTAATCCACCTATTGGTGTAGTCCTTAGGAATCTGAGCTGGCGCTGGAAGTTCTTCGACAGCCGAAGTCGAAGTGGACCTGGTTCCAGTATTTTGCCTCTTCTCAGAATCTGCGGGTAGTGATGGCCTCTGTGTGTTAGGTGGTCGAGATGCAAGTGATTCTAGAGGTCCCACTACGTTTCGTGGACTGCTTGTCTTGTACGGGTGTTGTCGCCTCCCGGTAATTGCCCGGCTCTCCGACATCGTTCCATTCCCTGGGAACCCCGCCAGGAGAGTGGCCAGCTGGTTTCTCCGGGTCTCTACAGGCTGTGTAAATGTAATACAACTGGTCCTTAGAAGCATTCGGTTCAATAGTTGCAACAGATATCGGAAGATTAGGAAGCCGGAGGCTCAGATTGGTATGGTTACTGAGAGGAAGGAGTGGACCTCATCACCCGTGGTGATAGAGTGGGATTCGGGTGAACCGAATGTATTCTTAGAGATACATGTATGGACAAATCCTAGCCAGAGGGTGAGTACGGATTTATAAGCATATATATTACTTAGCGATGTCAGGATACCAATAGAACTAGCCAGCAGAAAGACAGAGGACTAGAGGCACTAGATAAAAGACAAAAGGAAATGGAAGGGATAGGACTGCATCAACCGCTCGTTTAGAACTTTGAGCGACGGAGCGACCTCAGCGGGAAGTTTGTTCCAGAACGGAATTATTACAGAAGAGGAATTTCTATGTGATCTTGACGTAAGTCGCCGGAGGAGGGAGGCAAGTGTCCACGCAACCGATAACTGCAAGAGTGTGGAAAATGATTTTATAGGGGCAGATGAGACACCCATACAGGTGCAGGTTTTGAAGAGGGAATAGGTCAATGTGAAACAACATTACCAAGTGATATCGGAAGATTAGGAAGCCGGAGGCTCAGATTGGTATGGTTACATCATATTTTCACAAAGCTTCGGCCAAGTAAAATCGTCAGGCAGTTCGAATTTACTGACCGGAAGGTCCACGGTTCGAACCCAACCTATATCTCCTGACTTCCCCTGTCTAGGCTTGGGCAACTTGGCAGTATCTCATCCCTCGTGCTTGCCCCTGGTGGCATGGCAGCTAGCCACCGAAAGGGTGCCTCAGCTGAACGTTTATTACTAAGGGCGATGTCTGATATAGTTACCCGTGAATCCAAGGTTGGGCGTGGTCTTTTTAGTGGACAGATCGGGAGGGTAAACTTGATATTAGAGGAAACAGCTTGAATGCGTGCTTGCCATTAAGAGCGCGACTGGGCAGTATCTGCCTGTGTCCATAGGGACTGACGGGTCACGTCTCGGAGTTCCCGTCCAAAGAGACCGCGACAATCAGCGCCGCTAATTTTGCTAATAATGGTTTTCATACTTCGCTGCTAAGTCAACGCTTGGCTCGTTTCAACCTTCCACGAGGTTGTGCACAAAAGTTCTCCAGGAAAGTCGGTCAACTGGCACTCTACCAAGCCAGCGTAACCTATGGAGTGTGATCAGTTCATCTACCATGGATAAATCGTTTCTCTTGAAAACCTTACGATGTATTTCAGTGCCACTGATGCGGTGTTCCCACCAGACTCTGGCAGTACTCTGAAGACAATGAGGGTCAAACACTGGAAGACTTTGACTTCTCCAGTTCACAGCAGCCTGGTTTCTGACCCATATAACATTATGGAACACCACCATTTACAGGTAAACTGATGTCAAGCTGTGCCATATGTGACACAGACTGACAAAAGCTTCTCTGGCCTTCCCAGTCAGAATGGAAATGTAGTCTTCAGCTAACTATGGAGGAATTGACATCATTCTAAGTCACTAGGCGGATATCCGTTGGCAGTGGCCACTTTTCGGTTCGTTCGGCAGCGTTTGTGAATCCTACAACCGGAAGGTTGCTCGTTTTTTACTTATCATGGATGCTTACGCCTCAGCCGACTGTAGCTCTGACGCCTAGTACGCCTTGTTAAGGCAGGCTAAATGCTCAGATATCGTTATGGTTGTTGGAGATTTGAGTACACAAGTGGGCAAACTTAGCGTATCTGAGGGTAGTCAGTTTGCGATGGACCCGGCACGTACGGACTATGGTGAACGACTGCTTCTGGTACGTGCTGATCGTAGACTGTTTTACGCAGTACTTACTTCCGGAATTCGTTCCTTGCCGATACTTTTGCTTCAGCCTACGCGAGCTGAGGGGTTAAGACAACAGTTGCAAAAGACCCGAGATTGTGGTTAAAGCGCGAGCCTATTAACCGTAAAGTCTGTGGTTTCCAACCTAGTTGCTTCAGCCTACGCGAGCTGAGGGGTTAAGACAACAGTTGCAAAAGACCCGAGATTGTGGTTAAAGCGCGAGCCTATTAACCGTAAAGTCTGTGGTTCGAATCCAACCTAGGCCCGGGGAATCTGGCTGTGGCAACCCTCGTGGCACATCAGGGCACCGAAATAGTATTACGGCCGGTGAACAACTGTATTATTATTATCGTTTACCTGAAAATGTCTCAGTTCCCTTGCCTGCAGAGGCCACGTCTTGCAATCATACAACAAAGTAGCATTCATCGCCGCCTGATTTATACCTCCCTGGAGATCTAGGGCCGTTGCTTTTTCGCCATAGAAGACTCATATTAGCAGACATGATTTGAGCCTTAGAAATTATTGAAATGACCTGACGTTACGGTTTGAGATTGCACAAGTTCCACGACAAGTAAAACGCTTTCCAGACTCGAGCGCTTCTCCTTGGGTGGTATGGGTGTCTAGTAAATGTGCGTCCAGAAGCACGACCTTATACTTTGTGGGTGTAAAGCACATACCGAAGTTCGAGCCGACTTTGGTCAACTCACTCAAAAATAGCCATGCTTCTTCCCCCTTCGAAGACGAGAACGAGGCTGTCTGGATATCCCGGGTCGAAAAGGTTTCCGTCAGCAGCTATCTGAACACGGGTTTTGGATACTTCACGTAAGTCCCAGAAGCTCGCTGAATTGCGGCGGAGACAGCGAGCACTGTTGTCAGAAGCCACTTTATGCAAAAATGTTTTTGAGAGCTCCCCGATTAATGCGATACTCCTATACTCTTCAGGACACAAGGGAATCACCATGCCGACAACCATCCTTGCGAAGGAATCGTGTTAAGAACAGCAGACGGGTCAACAGAGTTGAATCCAGTAGTACCGAAATTGTAGGTTGTCTTCACGTATGTAGTTGGTGTGGTGGAACGTGATGTGATCAGCGCAATCCTTGCCGGAGTGAAAAACCGCTCGCCGCTTTCGCCTCAGTGCCTCACGAGCCATCACAAAGCGACGAATAACAGGTGATGCCAAGAGTTTCGCTCCATCACGAAGAGACAACCTTATCACGGTACGGCGCCTTTGGTATCAGCATAACCTACTGAGTTATACTGGGGAGCACGTGTGGCACTCACACAGCCGTTCACACCAGGTTTCCCAATGGGTACAGGTTTAACTAACGGTCTCTTCGTCCTTCAGGTTGGGAGTTAGAAAATGTCACGGAATCCGACGGTTGTCATCTCAAGAACCAAGTGCGGTTGTTGAGCTAACCTTGCTAATCGAGGTGAATATCCGCTGCAGTTACGTGCCAATCACAGAATGTTTACGTGAAGTACTAAATTCCGAAACAACAGAAGCCGGTCGGCCATGTGGGGAGCCAACCTGTAACAAAGGTGGCGTGGGCCACTTACTGACTGCCGCTCGTTCTGGAGCATTTGTGTGGACTCGAATCATGCGTTTGTTCGTTGCTGCTTCTCCTTACGCTTCTCAAGGAAGTGAAATGTGAGCACACCTCGCCTGGCCACTGAGCTCTCGCACCCTGAATTAAAACAAGCCTATCAGAAACACACGTTGACGTTGCTTTCGGAAAACGCGTATTTTGATGTTTCCTCTTAGGGAAAGGTAATGTCCGCAACCCTGTAAGATTCGGGGCACTCCGCTTCGCGTACTTGACCATCGACATCTCAGAATTGCATGGGGAGGGATGCAATACAATAAGCTAAGCTTTTGAAGGCAATTTTGTTACCTTGGAGAGATTTCAGTTAAGGTGGCGGCATTTTGCGACTGCTCTACGCTGGATGACTTTGGCGGGAGTAGCCTGAAAACACTTAATAAAGGAAATAGTTCATAAAGCTGTTGGGAACAAGGGACAAATTTGGAGAGCCTACAACATCAAAGGCTGCCGAGCTTCGCACACACACACACACACTAAATTCGAGTAGTTTCGATTTTCTCTCAGTGGTGTGCAGCAATCTGCAAAGCGAACGCGCCACCGGTTTCATACGATTGCTTCCATGGAAGAAACGGAAGTCACATTAGAGATTAATCCCCGCTCCAAACCAAAACCGTGTGGGTGACACACTGAATCGTACCGTATAACCAGGATAGGGGTGATAGAGCTCGGAACTGGCTCTTGTTCCTTCCCATCACCCACTAAAAGCTCCACTGGTGTACGGGGTTGGATGTTCATGAAAACTACTATGCTAGCAGTCAGAAACGCCTTTATGTAGGTGCCTACACTTACAGAGAGAGAGGGAATGACTTCATTTTCTTTCACAACACTATCCCTGATATATTTTATTCATCCAGCTAGTACATAGAACAAGAAGGGTTGGAGAATGTATACCCGAACACGTTAGAAATTTTCTACTGTCCCTTGTTCCTTTAGTAGCCAGTCAAAGGGTGGTAGAACAGGTTTCCTCAGTATTCCGGGTGAGATGTCAGGATGCGGGTTGTATTCGACGTGCGTGGGGATGTAGTGACGGCACACGCCGGTTCTGCTCATTATTGTGCAGATATGGGGATTGTTATTATTGGAACCACAAGGTACAGAGAGCACAAGTTAAGTGTCGCAGGAGAGATGACCCAAGCGAAGCAACTACGCGCACGTACTGCAACCGAAACTTCAGGCACGAGTCAAGAACAGGTCCGGCAATTGTTCAGGGTCACTTAAAGGGATATACGGACGGGCTCCTGCCTCCTGTCTGGGACTTGTGATAGCTCGTCGGAGATACCTGCAATACGGAGAAACATGAATACACACACATGTGGTCATATGATAAGCATTTATAAGCAATCAAGCTTCCCATGCGTCAAACGAGTGTAGCGTGGGACGTGTTCGAGAGCATGTACCGACGGCACACAACCGTTCTGAAATGTGCAGATATAGAGTTTGGTATTACGGAATCCACACGGCACACACAGCACACATTGGCACAGATCGGTTGACACAGACAAGAAC